GGCCTGTCCCAGGTCTACAGACACGGCTCATCTCCTGCAGGCAAGCTGGATAAAGATTCCAGTTTCTCTTTTTGGAGCCCATCCTATAAAATAAAGTCTGATGAGTCAACTACTGACTGTAGCAAAGGATAAACATCTAGGAAGAAAAAAAAAGATAAACATTCAGGACTATACTAAATGAGAACAAACATTCATGTATCCCAAGGCACAAAAAAACAGCTAGAGCTTGGCCACTGTATGAGTGAAATAAGCTATGAAAATAAATTCTTCAGAATTTTATGTCAGAGAAAATTTTTAACTATACCTTGTATTAATTAATGCGTATAATCAAACTAAACCAAACCAATGCTTAAAAAACAACTTATCCTGAGAATCAGAATCAAGTCTTCCTCACTGTTTGTATTTGAACTATGATTATATATATAATTGAGCAATAGGCTAGGAAGTGAATTACAGAAGGAACCTTCCTCTTGTGATTGTTGAAATCAAAATGTAGCCTTGAATTCTCAGAAGAAACAAAACAGAGGAGTCTATTATGACTTAAAATGGTTCAGAAAAAGCTAGTAATGGAGATAGCACCAGGAAGCTGAGACAGGAAAACTGAGGCCAACCTAGGTTACAAAGTGAGTTCAAGGCCAGCATGAACTTCATAGAAAGACATAAAAAACCAAAACCTGTTCAGGGGAAAGAAAAAAAAAAAAGTTCAGCCGGGCATGGTAGCACATACTTGTAATCCCAGCACTTGGAAAACTGAGGTAGGAGAATTACCATGAGTTCGATCGAGGCTAGCCTAGGCTACAAATGAGTTCAAGACTAGCCTGATGGACTACCGAGCAAGAGCCTGTTGCCTAAGTCAAAAAACAAATCAAGGGGGCCGGGAAGATAGCTCAGTAGAATAAGCACTTGCCTGGCAAGCGCAAGGGCCCGAGTTCAATCCCCAGTTCCGCAAAACAAAACAAAACAAAAAACCTTGTAAACCTACATAATCTTGGGGCCAGGAAGATGGCTCAGTGGAATAAGCACTTCCCTGGCAAGTGCAAGGGCCTGAGTTCAATGCCTGGTTCCACCAAAAAAAAAAAAAAAAAAAAAAAAAAAATCAAAACCAAAAACCTACAATCGTTCCGCAAAGTCTGTTAAAAGGAACTGAAGATTTTTTTCTATGAACTGAAGGTTTTTTTACATACAATGATATTTTTTGAAAAAGAAAACATTAATCATTTTTTTAAAAACAGTATTTAGAAAATAAGTACCAGAAGCACAGTTAAGTAAACGTCCTTTAAAAAAAAACAGCATACCTTTTTCCAAATGGCATATCTGTTACAATGATATCCACAGAGCCAGTTCTCAGTGGAAGATTGCAGCTATCCCACTGAACAGCATCAATGGGCATACCCCAACAAAGTTTGCTGCAGGGACAAGGGAAAGGTGCTTCAACATATTCTGAAATATGAAGTTTTAAAAAACAAATTTGTTCATAAGAGACTGCTATGGTAAAGTATAATGCTATGACTCACAGAACATCAACTGATCACAATCTTAAAAGTGACATGTAGGAAGACACTTTATATTCATTAAATAAAACTAGTACAATGAGTGAAACGGGAAAGCAACATATAAACTTAAAGAATGGTTAAGGATGATTTTCAAAAGATGTTCACATGCAGCATGGTGGTACACAACTGTATGCCCAGCACTCAGGAGGCTGAGGCAAGAGGACTGCCATGAGTTTGAGACCAGCCTAGGCATAGCTGAGACCCAGTCTAAAAAAATAATGTTGACATCTGTTTCACATACAGTTAAGGAAAACAAATTGAGAGAAATCATGCCTGCAAGAGAAATTCACAGTGTTTCAAAGGAAAAAAATCAGCGAAGGTAAAGATACGGCCAATGAAATAGACATAAAACAGGATAACATACATCAAGTATGAATAACACGAATACTTAAAACATTTTTTCTAAAAAACAACTGATTTGCAAACATAAGCCTCACAGTATTATAAAGGTGGTTGTCTCTGCATCTCCTAAGGTCACCTGTAATTCAAATGACTTCCTGTGCTATATAGTCAATATGTGGTACATCTGTATATCTTAACAAATCTGTTGACTACTCCCTACTCCTGCAGCTTTCTAAATAAAGGATGCTAGGCATAATAGCATATGCCTGTAATCTCAGCACTCAGGAGACTGAGACACAAGAATTGCTGTTGAGTTTGGGAACCTATATAAAAAAAAAAAAAAATTTAAATTAAAAAATCCAGAAAAGAATAAAGGACAGCTACATAGGCGACCAGAGATGTGGGCTCTGATAAAAAACCATACACTAAGCTACAATATTTAGTGTACAGTTGTCCCCAAAGACTTGCAAAAAGAGGCTGACACAGGTGTCCTCAAATAGAATTTATAGTAGGCTAGAGCTACAGTACCAAAAAGACAGAAAACACATGTACCGAGATGCTGATGGATTTCCAAACTATATCAAAGGCCTATAGTTTAGAAAGAAGGCCTTTCCCAGGAACCAACCAGTCTTTCACTTTGATCTGGGGTTTTACAGTTTTATGAAAAATGAATATTAAGTTCCTTAACTGCATGGGAGAGAATGATTTAAGACTTACATACTCTGGCTGGGGAAGAAAGGACTGAAGTATGTGTACTTTGTTGGGGGAGGGCTTGAAATACTTTTTTTCCCTTTTGCTTTGTGAGAAAGGGTCTTACTCTGTACTTCAGGCTGGCCTCCAACTCATGGCAATCCTCTTGCCTCAGACTCTTGAGTGCTGGGAATACAGCATGTGCTACCATGCCTGGTCAAACAGCTAAATTTGATCATCATGTGAAACAAAAATTTTTCTTCTTTATAAGCCCAAATGAGAGAATAAGAATAAATCTGTGGAAGGTACACGGAGTATTACTGTTCCTAGAAGAAAGGGATAGCCAGGCACTATGACACAACAGCAATCTTAGCATTTTGGGAGGGCATGTCCTTCCTATATCTGCAGATGCTGGCTATTGTGGTGCACACTTGTAATCCCAGCACACAGCAGGCTGAGGCAGGAGGACCACTGTTGAGTCTGAGTCCATCCTAGGCTAGAAAATGAGTTCAAGGCCAGCCTGAACTATAGAGTGAGACTTTAACAACAACAATACACTTTGGGATGGAGCTCAGTACAAAGGTTCTGGGTTCAATTCCTCAGTACCAAAAAAAATGGAAAAAAAAAAACACCATAGCACGAGGAAATTAAATATTTAAAAAATACAAATTATCTTCAATAAATTTAACATTTAAATGGAGTCTTACACTTACTCATCTTAGCTATAATAGCAGAGTGCACTGAGATTAACTCAGAATCAACATGAAAAGTGATTCCCTAAGTCTAAAATAAGATAAAAAAGATTTAAAATTTTACCCTTCTTGAACTTGATTCTTGGTCAATAAAGATGAGATATTATTTGCTGTTCTTTTTACAGCCAGTGGACTATTATCACCAGCAATATGGTAACAGTTAGACCATTCAGTGGCCCCCTAAAAGACAAGATGATATATCAGAAATACAAATAACAGGCTGCAAAAAATTGTTAAGGGGAATGCTGCTTCAATCAATTCTCAGGAAGGCAATCAATCCAGTGTTCTGATCACAAGTGGCAAAACAATATATTGTTGCCAAGTTTGCCACTGTCCTAGTTGGAAAAGCCATCTCTGCTTGCTGAATTCCTGCCTATCTTTCAAAACCCAGCCTTACTGTCAATTTACTGGATTAACAAATTCCTAGAAAGGTGCTGGACTGTAAAAGCATAGTTTAGTGGGCTGCTCAAACGTAGGGTCTAGCTGAAGTGTATCAAGGGGCTGTAACTGGGGACTCTATCTGGCCCTCCTATCTGATATCTGATGTCTTCCTGAACTCTACTTCCTGGCTGCCGTAAAATAAGCAGCTTTGCTACATCATTCTCTTCCACCATGATGTTCTATTTCACCTCAGATCCACACCAATGGAACCAACCAACCATGGACTGAAACCTCTGCAATCATAAGCTAAAGTTGTGGGTGTTGAGTATTGTGCTCAAGTATCTGAAAGGTGATTAATACATAGCTCAACCATCATACCCTCTGTAATGTCAACCTCAACTCTCCAAGCTGCCTTTCATCTGCCTATTAAAAGTATTCTATACACACTTCTGTCACTGTATTTGCTTCAGTTTTAATTATGTTCATACATTCCTGCCTCCCAACTAACCTAGGAACTTCTGAACAACTCTTGTATTTTATTCATCTCAGACTCAACAATATCTAACTCAACATACAAAAGGTGTAACAGTCCCTGACTAAACATGATTTAAAAAAAAAAAAAAAAATCAACCAGCCAGGCATGATGAGGAGATGAAGCAGGAGGATCACCATGAGTTCAAGGCCAACCTGAGTTACATAGTGTGTTCAAGGCCAAACTGAATTACATAGCAAGATTCTGTCTCAAAAAAACAACTAACAGGTATCTTTTTTTATTCTGTTCTCTAGCTCTGTTGTTTATTTTTTCACATTCAGTGATTTTACCTGATGTTTGATAGACATATCATAGTTTGGTGTTAGAGAAGAGCACTGCTTTATTCCACAGTTACCTTTGAATACAACTGGGTTTTCTCCATACAGGTCTCTGCAGGTACACTGACTTCTGTCACTAGTAGACTGTAACACCCACATAAATTATGGTTCCTTAACTTTCAGATCACAGGTGTTATTTTCTAATTACACTCTGGATTTTTTTTTTTTTTTTTTTTGCCTTGGATTGCTTGGTACATATTTTACTTGAGACATGTTAAAGAGTTTTTTAATGTTTTCATAAAGGTTTATATAAAAATCAATACTTTAGGGGACGGGGAGATGGCTCAGTGGAATAAGTGCTTCCCTGGCAAGTGCAAGAGCCTGAGTTTAATCCCCAGTTCCAAACCCCCCTCCGAAAAAAATCAACACTTTAAAAATGTGTATGTGAGGTGAATGTTAGCACATGTATACACTTCACTATTTTCAAAGGTCTTATAGTAAAATGACATTTCATTGATATGAATGGACTTACTCATTCATCCAGTTTCTGCCTACATACAGAACCTGTGGAATCGGGCTAGAGACAGCTCAGTGGTCTAAGCACCTGCCTGGCAAGTGTCAGGACCAGTTAGATCCCTGGTACTACATGCTGTGCTGGCCACACACACCTGTAATCCTAGCACTGAGGAGGCTGAGAGAGGAGGATCACTATGAATCTGAACTGCAGAGCGAGACCCTGTGTCCAATAAATAATTTTTTTTTTTAAAAAAAGATCCCATGGGATCTCTTGTGGCTTTTTTCCACTGTTTTTTTGTATGCCATACTGAAGAACTTATGTTTCACCTAAACTTACATGATTTTACTGAGTTCCCTCTTCTAGTAATTTCTATATGTATGCACACTGATTCAATAAAACTCTACTGCTTAATGTTCTCTACTTAGTAAGTACCTTCTCATTTCTTGCTTTACTTTATGCAGGTTTTATGAGTCCTTTCAATGTCACAGTAATCTTGAACACTGCTGAATAGCATTTGGTATTCAGCCTTACCAACTTCTTAAAAAATCGAAAAAACACTTTTTATAGTGTTGGAGATTGTTGCAAAGCCTTGCACAAGGTAGAGAAGTACTCTGCCACTGACTATAACTTCAGTAATTCTTCCCCTTTAAATATACTTCCTCCCCATAGGAACCCAAATTCATTAAAAACTATTCTTTTTATACAAAGATTAAAAAAAAAACCACAAACCCATCTTCCTTCAGTTTATGCTTCTGCCTTCAATTAGCTTTTTCTATTCAATTTTCTGGCTTAGTTAATACCAAAAAAAATTCACCAGTTTGTAATCTTCATGTTCCTTTTTTTTTCTTTTTGAAACAGAGCCTTCCTATGCAGTTCAGGGTGGCCTTGAGCTCACTCTGTAGCCAAAAGTGGTCTCTAACTTGCAACAATTCTGCCTCAGCCTCCTGTGTGCTGAGATTAAAGGTGTATGCCACCAAGTCAGGTTCACCTTCCTCTTAATCAGATGAATAATCACTATCTAGTCCTATCACTCTTGGCCATTTGAAATAAGTGGTTATAGTCTATGCACCAAATTACTTTTTTAAAGTAATTTTAAAAAATCCTTTATTTATTTGTGTGTTTGGTACAGGGTTTCACTACAAAGCTCAGACTTGTAGTAATCCTCTTGTCTCAGCCTCCCCAGTGCTGGGATTATAGGCATGCGTCATCATGCCCGGTTTCTGTGGCCAGCACGGTGCACCTGGGTTCCAGGGCCTACACAGCAAGTGGTACTGGGGATTGAACCTGTCCTTGTGCTTGCCAGCAGGCACTTAGACTGCCAAGCTATCTCCCCAGCCCCTAAATTACTAACTTTACTATTGTAATTCTTTTAAAACTTTTGGGTCTGCTGACTTAACCTTGATGGTTTCCCTGTTTAATGTGTCCATTAGGTCTAAATCAGCGTGACTGTATCTAAAGGGTTATTTAAAACACTAATGGAAGCCAAATGTGGTGGCACAAGCACATAATCCTAGCACCTGATTATAAGATTGCCTGAGTTCAAGGCCAGCCTAAACTATACCACCAGGTCCTATTTCAAAAACACAAATAAAACAAAAATTAAAGGAAAGGTATTACCTCTATTGGTATTGCCCCTGTTCCACACATTGGATCAACTATTATATCATTAGGCTGAGGTGCACAGAGCCTGGAAAAGAAAACAAAGAATAGTCAATATATATTTCAACCAAAAATTAAGGGTTGCACAATGCTGAATCCTAAATCTGTAAATTCAGGGATCTACCAAATCAGCATAAAAAAATTAGCATGAAAGAACACCTGTCTATAGTTATCTTAAAAATAAATTTGTAATTACATGTTGACTCTGACCTAGCACTTGAAAAAAACTATACATGTTTATATATATATATATATATGCCAAAGTCTTGTTATCTGAAACCTCATTTTACTACCAGACCTTTGAAAATATGCATGTACATCCACGTGCTAGCATTTACAGCACATACAGAAACATTTTTATTTTTAAAATGTTGATTTTTATATAAACCTTCATGAGAAAATTAAAAAACTCAAACATGTCTCATGTAAAATATATACCAAAATAAGTTCACTGGCAATTTGACATTCAATGTTCCTTTAATATTTTTTTCAGACATGATTTCAACTTTGAAGTACAGGCTAGTTTTTTTTTTTTTTGTTTTTGTTTTTTTAGTACAAGGTCTCACTACACAGATAAGACTCACAGTGACCCTCCTGTTTTCAGCCTCCCAAGCACTAGGATTACAGGCATGTGCCACCATACCCAGTCTCAATCTCCTCTCAGCGTGCCTGGGGGCGGGGGGGGGGGGGGACAGCACTGCACACTGGGAATTGAACCCTGGTCCCTGTGCCTGCCTAAGCAGGCAGTTTAATCCATTCAGCTATCTGACCACCCCCCCCCCTTTTTTTTTAACATATTTAGTACAGTGTCTCATTACACAGTTCGGACTTGTAGTGATCCTCCTGTTTTCAGCCTCCCCAGTACTGGGACTATAGGCATGGGCTGCCACACCCAGTCTTAGACTAGTCGAACTCACTGCACAGGTCAGGCACTTGTGCTTCCACCTCCCTAATGCTAGGATTATAGGTGTGTGTCACCAAATATGGCTTAATATTTAAAGATAACCTCAATATAAAATAGTTCTTTATTAGGTCAGGTGTGGTGGCACACACCTACAATCCCAGAATTCTGGCGGCTACGTCAGGAGTATCGCTGTGAGTTTGAGGCCAGCCTGGGCTACAAAGTGAGTTCAAGACTAATCTGAATTACACAGTGAAACCATCTCAAAAAGAATTTTAAAAAAAACCTTTTACTTTGGGCATTTAGTATTTGAAAGGCATGAATTTATGCACTCATTAAATATTCTTTAAAGATTCTAAGTTTCTACTATTATTTTGCAGATTAAAGTGAAATATTTTCTGACCAAGGATACAAAACTCTAGTAGGACAGAGTCAAGATAACAACTGATGGCTTACGCGTCACCTTTTCAGTGAAGCATCCCATTCTGAGGTCATCAGTTTTTCTTTCTCTTGTCCTAATCTGTTCATACTGCATTAAAGTACCTAGCACATGCATAGTAATTATTTATCTCCCTCTCAAGACAGATTCTTGGACGCAGCTAAATTTCCTTGTTCTCACTCCTCAACATATGACAACAGACTACTAGGCAACAGCCTTGTAATAAGCAACCCTCTATTCCCAGCCATGGCTGTTAAGAGCAGCAAGGCAGACATCTGATCAAAACTATGGCACACAAATCCTCTTTATGAAATTTGGAATAAAGAGAGACAAGTCCTAGGAAGTACAAGCTGACTGTTCAAAACTGGAAATATGTAAATTTAGTTGAGGACAGCCATGTACACAGATGAACAAAGGTTAAGAAACCAGAAGTTCTCAGAAAAAAGAGTAAGCTGCCTATGTTTCTGGTGGTTTTCCAAGACCTGGTTTCAGCTCTTCTTGAAACATGGGGGATTCTACAAGACTTCTCATTTATTGCCCAGCCTACCCACGCATAATCATCACTTTTTTAATCCTAAACAAATTAGGTTACTAATATTAGCACCCAAAATAAATCTCTCTGTATCCCTGATTTCTGTTAACTCCTGTGGTAGAAAATAAACATCTGAATGAAGACCTGGAGCTCCTTATGAGCCCAGTTCTTCATTACTTGCATTGAATATGGCCCAACTGTCTTGAACTATGACTCCACAGATGAGGACAAAAGAGAAATCAAAGATTGGAAGGAGAGAAAATACAATCACTTAATCACCACAATATACCAGGCATTGCATAAAAGTTATTTTGCACGTATTTCTGCATTTAATTCTTACTAATAATCCTTTTCTGAGTCCCATACCAAACTCCATTTTGCAAAGGCAGAATTAGAAGCCTGAGAAGATACACTTGCCCAAGTGGCAGAAAGCCGCCCTCAAAAAAAGGGGGAAGGGCAGAAGAAAGCTAGGTCTTATACTCTGAAGAGTAGATGATTTCCAGAATGAACCCTAGGCTGCTGAAACACTTAAAAATATGAGTGAAAGGTTCTATGCTAATTTATATAGTATACTCATTTTCAAAACATCTGCTTTCACCTGCATCACTTTACAGAAATGAAGCACAGCAAAATCTCCTCTGTCCCAATAAACAATCTATCCTTCCTACCCAGGAATGTGGCTGCTCCATTCTAGAAGTCTATAAAACTATCGTTCTCATTCTAAAATCAAATAAACTAAGAAACTGATTACATATTTTCAGAACCACAAGGAATCATTCAATTAGAAATAACCCTATTAGAATACTGTTTAAAAATTGGGTTTTTAAAATTAAGTTTGTTAGTACAATTTCAATGTACATATTGATAACATCATAGGAAAAAAAATCTTGCTTTTTAATCCACTCAATTCCAATACAGTATAGCAAAGAGATAAAAAAAAAAAAAAAAAACTGTGTTTGGAAGGGAAAATTCAAAGCAAGGTGCAACTTTAGAGAGCAAAATATCCATTCACCTAAGCATCCCATAAGCAAGAGTTGATCTAAGAGTCGTAGGTCCAAAATGTGTAATATTTCTACGGTGGAGACTCTCCTCAGTCAGTGCAATGCCCACAACCATTTCATTATCATGGATATTCAAGAGAACCTATAAGATTAAACAAGACAAAAGAAAACAGTCTCAGGAGTTTTCACGCTGAAATTATTACTAAGATTTTTAATTGAAGCTTTATAAGTAAGATTTGTTGGCTGAGGTATACTTGTCACATAGGCACATAAATCTTAAGTGTATGAATTCTTAATGTAAAATTATGTAACTACTCCTCAAACAGTGATAATAAAAGACTTCCAGCAGACAGAGGATTTCCAGCATCCTGAGGCTCCCTTTGTCTCCTTTCTGCTCAATATTCACTACAGGTTAACCATTAACCTGACTGCTACCACTATAATCTAGTCATGTCATTTTCTTAAACTTCAAATAAAAAAAAATGGTGTATACTATTTTTTTGTTTGAAGTCTATGTTATTTTTTCATAAAATACATGGCATTTTGGCTTACAACTTGATTTTCCTCCCAATTTTATAATGCAAGCATATTTGAAGGTTTATGGCTGTTTAGAAAAATATTTAAACATACAGAAGTGCTACAAGACAACTGGCATACTGAATTCCTAATTACATATTTCAATCACATTAAGCAACAATACTACCACATTTGCCTTATCTATTGTTTTCATACTTCTGTTTTTTTTAAACTAGACCTACTTGAAACTTACCTGTGTTTCTGTTTTCTTTGTGTGTGTTTAGTACAGGGTCTACAAGGGCCTCGCTACGAAGATCGGACTTGTAATGATCTGACTGTTTTCAGCCTCCCAAGAGCTGGGATTATAGGTGCACACCACCACACCCAGTCTCAACTGCTGTCTCAGCATGCCTCGGGGGTGGGGCCACCATCACAGGCAGGGGATCGAACCCCAACTGCTGCACTGACTAAGCAGGCACTTTAGTCTGCTAAGCTATCTGGCCGGCACCATACCTGTGTTTTTTGATTATAGTTTACTGAAAGAAAAATGTTATACCATCTCCTACCTAACATTTCATCGGGTTTTTTTTTTTTTTTTTTTTTTTTTTTGCGGTACCAGGAATTGAACTCAGGACTTTATGCTTGATCTTATCAATAGTAAATTTAACTGTGACATTCCTCGATGCAAGGCACTGTTCTACACATTGTACTCATGACCCCACTTCCTAGTCATCAGCTCTTGAGCTAGGTAACAAGGCTTCCTGTATAGATAAAGCAACTGAGCCACAAGCATAACTTACTTGCCCAGTCACAGAGCAAGTGTTTAAGTTGGGATTTAAAGGCAGGCAGCATGGCTCAGTATGACCTCTGAGCTACCTTGCTATCAGTTTTCTAGTTAGTTGGGCTGGTGATATATAACTCAGTCACACAGTGCCTGTTTGGCAAGCTCAAGGTCCTGAGTTTGACTCCTGGTACCCACAAAAAAAAACCAAAAAACAAAAAACAAAAAACACTTTTCTAGTTAGTGCCCACTCATTTTTACGACAGCTGTATGAGATAGAAAAAAAAATGAGAATTGTTCATTTGATCTGACATGCCAAAATAAAAGTTACTGGGCCAACGAGACACCTCAGCAGACTAAGCACCTGCTTAGGCAAGCACAGGGATTAGGGTTCGATCCCTGGCCACCACATGCCACGCCAGCCCCAGCCCTGCCACTGGATATGGTGGTGCACGCCTGTAAGCCCAGCACTGGGCTGAAAACAGGAGGATCACTATGAGTCCAAGCTGTGTAGTGAGACCCTGTATCAAATGCAAAAAAATAAAATTACAAAAACACAGACTGAATATTGCCCCAAATTGAAGTGTACTACAAGCAAGAGAAATTGACTTCTTGGTAACAATGGGAGTTGCCAGATGCCCTTTGAATACTCAGGCTTAATGACTCAGGTTACTACTACAATCAGTCACCTGGGCAGTGAGTGAGCAAGACTGTAAGCATGCTAAAAGTAAATGGCTGATGTTGAGCTTTTAAAAATCCACTTTTTTTAGTACCAAATCTATAAACAAGATACACAAATTGTTTTAATTCTGGTTGAATTTTATAATCTGCAAGTATACATAATATACAAGAAAAACTACTAGTTTATAAATTAGAAAACTTGTATCTTAGCAGCTCCCATCTACTAAGCGCTCAGCATACGCCATAGTCTTGCAACAAGTATGTACTTTAAATGTTTTACTTTGCTAAATGTGGTGGCACATGCCTGTAACCTCAGTATTCCAGGAGGAGGAGCACAAGGATAGAAAGTTAGAGCTCAGTTTGGGTAACTTGTCAGCTTTCCAAAACCCTGTCTCAAAATTAAAAAAAAAAGAAAAGAAAAAGGGCTGAAGCTGGGTGTGGTGGCAAGACACCTGTAGTCCAGCACTCCAAAGGCTGAGGCATGAGAATCACCTCAAGTTTGAATCCAGCCTTGGGTACACAGGAGGTTCAAGACCACCCTCCTGAACTGAATAGCAGCAGCCTTTCTCAAAATAAAAAAAAAGCTTAGAATAAAGTACTCTTACTTACCTTCAGTATAATCCTAAAGATATGTACATATTACTACTGGTTCCACTTGAAAGAGGCCAAGAGAATATCACGTCCACTGTTACATAAAGTTGTATTCACATCTGTCAGTCTCCACACCCAATGTTCTTTATCCCATCACATCCTACTAGCGCTACTATCCCAGTTTAATTGTCCCAGATGCTATCTTAGTCTGAAAAAATTCTCCCTATCTATGACAGCCTTTCCAACCATCAGTCAAAGCATGCACTTACCTCCACATCAAAATTAGTCATGTCAGCCTTCCACTTGAAATGATCTTGAACAGCACCCCCAAAATCTCTTGCAGCCTCATTTGAGGTAAAGCAATGTTTCTCTCCTGCCCTATTGCATGTAACTCTGAACTTTAACACCTGAGGCTCAGTTTCTTCTTTGGAATGTTCATCAGTCTCAGTTTTGGAAGATGCTAGGTCATCACCTACTAATGTTGATATCTCCTCCTTGATGGCTGGATTCTCGTAATAGTCAAGGATACGCGAATCTAAAGCACTGTTGACAAATCCTCCATCATCTCTCTCATCTAATTTGTCTCCTTGTCCATTTACTATTTTCTTTTTGTTTGAATTCACACTCATCTTTTTGTGCTTTGTTTTCTTCTTCTTGAAACAAGTGTTAACTTCCCATACTTTTAAAGGATCTGACCACGGGAGTTTTCCAGCCAAGTCTTCAAAATCTTTCAGAGCTTCTTCCTACAAAAAAAAAAGAAACCCATCCATTCCTCACTACTTTCTTTTCTTTTTTTCAGACAGTCTCACTATGTAGTTCAGGCTGACCCCAAACTTGCAGCAATTCTCTTCCCTTCAGTCACTTGCGTCCTGAGTTTGGACAGCTAGGTGCCACCATTCCCCAGTAACAAATACTACTACTTTGCTTACTGTCATTTTTTTTGAACGTGGGAAAGAAAAAAAATACCTTTAGTTAACAAAGTTAAGGTTTCAATGATAAATTAAGATACATACATTAAACCAATAAACAGTAATATAAGAGCTAGGCAAGATACACATGCTTGTGATGCCAGCACTTGCACTGAGGAGGCTGAGCAGGAGGGCTGCTTTGAGTTCAAGACCAGCTGGGGCTACAAGGTGAAACCCTGTCATAAAAATATAAATACAATAAAACTTATAATAGAAAACTATAAATAATTTTTCCCTTTTTTTTTTTTTTCTTCAGTATTGACCATTAAACCCAGGGCCTTTGCACAGAGGTATATCTCCCAACTATTTTTGTATTTTGAGAGAGGGTCTTGCTAGATTGCTTGGGCTACTCTTGAACTTCTGATCTTTCGGTCTTGGCCTCCTAGAGTGTTCATTTTTTTTTTTTTTTCCTAGTGTTGTGATTATAAAGCATATACCTGCATGTCCAGCTTAAATTAAAATTTAAACCATGAGACATTACTTCCAAAAACGGGATGTAGGTGAATAAAAGGGAAAAGAAAGGAGGGCAACTTAAAACTTACTGTTGTGAAAATCCTGTTTAATTTCTCTTTCTCCCTTCTATCCCACTGCTTGATATAAGGGAGTAATAGTATGTCATGTTACATATTAACTACTTCAAAAAGAAAACATCAGGGGCTGGGGAGATGGCTCAGTGGAATAAGCACTTCCCTGGCAAGCACAAGGGCCTGAGTTCAATACCTGCTTCCGGAAAAAAAAAAGGCAGGATGACTCTTCTCCAGTTCCACCAAAAAAAAAAAAAAATTAAAAAAAAAAAAAAAAAAAAAAAAAAGAGTGAAAAAGAAAACATCTGTAAAGGTAAAAATCTTTAGCAGTTAAAAATATCTCTATTGATTCTTGTAGTCCTCTATGAGTAAAAATTATGTGATGCCCCTCTCTTGCTAAAAGCCCTTGAATAACTTCCCAAAGCACCAGTCTGACTCCTCTTCTCTTACATATTTTCAGGGCCAGTTTTTCCATTTCTCCTTTACTTCTGCTCCAAAGGTACTTACTTTCCATTCTGCCCTGCAGACCTTTTCCTCACTACTTAATAGCACATCTTCCAAGAAGCCAGCTTTACTGAATGTTCTTTCAAGTCAATTTCCTATTTGATCTTTTGCTGTGTTTAGCACTATCCAAGGTTACTAAGTTTATGTACTGCTCACCATCAAGGCTCTTCCCAGAACATAGGTGCATGACCTCTGCTGTGAACCACACACCTAGAACAATACTGGCATGTGGTCAAAAAAAATGGTCAATAAAAAGCTGCTAGATAATATGTGATTGAACATTAACATGTGAAGCATAGGGCTGGTGAGATAGCTCAGTGGACTAAGCGCCTGCTTAAGCAAGCGTAGGGACTAGTGTGTAGTGATGCACGCCTATAATCCCAGTGCTGGGCTTGAGTAGTTAGACCATGTACCAAATACATCATCTAAAAAATGTAAAAAAAAAAAAAAAAAAAAAAAAAAAAAAAAAAAAGGAAGTATAAAACAACAGAGCAACCACTACATACATGCTATTTTTTAGATTTAAATTACTTAAAATTATAGAAAATTAAACAGTTCCTCTGTCACTTTAGTCGTATTTTACCCACTCCCACCTTTTGGTCAGTATGCTGGATAAGTACATATAGGACATTTCCAGCAGAGTTCTACTACACATAGCACTGGTACTGACTGGTATTACTAAATAATGAAGCATAAAGAACTCAGTGGTGACTGATGCTACTGAGACTTGGCAATGGGAGTGGAGGTTTTGCTAGTGCTGAATCCTGCTAAAATAGCATCAAGCTTCTGGGTTAGCAAATTTTACTCCAATTTACAAACAGCTTTCCTATAAAGGGCCTGTGGAGAAGTTGTTTGAAACAGTAGAACACTGGCCGGCCTGCCTGCCTGTCCTTCCCTCCTTCCTTTTCTTCCTTCCTTCCTTCTTCAAAGCTGTTTGGAAAGAAAAATACAAGAAAAATGCCAACTCTTGATAAGAGTACTTGTAACCTGGAACTACAATAAGAATTTTCAAGTGAATTAAAGGTCAAACAGAAGTGCAGAATGAAATAAAAAGGGGAAAGACCTGCATATCTGAAACAAAGGATAAAGCACCTCTACAAAGCACGTAGCAAAGATGGGTGTGGGGGCACACGCCTAGAATCCTACCACTCAGGAGGCTGAAGCAGGAGGACTGATGCTAGTGAGAAGATCTCAAAGAAAATAAAATGCAGGGTGAGGGAGATAGCTCAGTAGAGTAAGTGCTTGCCTGGCAAACACAAGATCCTGAGTTCAATCCCTGGTACCAGAAAAAAATAAAAAAAACTTTTAAAAATGCAAGTAGCAAATAAACGTTACTTGGAACACCACGCAAATGATAAAAGAAAGCAAGAAAGTGTCATTAGCTGGAGAAATAGCTTGGTGGTCTAAGCACCTGCCTGGCAAGTGTAAGGACCTGGGTTCAATCCCCAGTGCTGCATACTGTGCTGGCCCTGTGCCATGCTGGCCCTCTACTGTGCCAGCCACCAGAGCCAGCCACTGAAACCAGGTGTGGTGGCACACACATACGGAAGCTAAGACAGGAGGATCACTGAGTCTGAGCTTTGTAATGAGACCCTGTACCAAATACATAAAATGAAAAAAAAAAACCAATAGAGTTGCCATGTGTGGTGGCGCCACCTGTAACTCCAGCTCTTAGGAGGCTGAGGTAAGAAAATCATTGCAAGTTCAAAGCCAGCCTGAGCTACATAATGAGCTACATAATGTCTCAAAAAGACAAAAAATAGAAATAAAAATGAAATAAAATAAAGGGCCAGGGCGAGTTAGCTCAGTGGCATAAGTGTTTGCCTAACAAGCGCAAGGTCCCGAGTTCAATCCCTGATATATATCCCAGCACTTAGAAGGGTGAAGCAGGATGAGTAATAAGTTGAGCTGGGGCTACATAGAAAATTAAGACCAGCCTGAACCACACAGCAAGACAGTTTGAAAAACAACAACAAAACCCCCAAAATAAGAAGAAGCATATCATAAACATGAACTCAAAACGGAGATATAAAAGCAGAAAGGGAATCTGTAAAGTTCAAACAAAATATGGACTAAAAAATTAAATCAATGCAGACAACAATGAAAACAGCATGCATAAGACACTTCCAAAAGCACAGCAAAGAATGTGGAGCAAAACAAAGTAACAATGGAACAAAAAAGTTAAAAAGGATCAGTGAGCCAGTCAAGGATTTAGCTCAGTGGCACAGCACCTGCCTGGCAAGCATGAGGTCCTGAGTTTGATTCCTGGAATGAAAAAGGATCAGAGAGAAATAGTAAATATGAAAAAATAGCCAAGTGGTGCACATCTGTAATTCCTCCTCTCTGAAAAGCAGAGACAGAGGACTCTAAGTTCAAGTCTAGCCTTGGCCAAGTTGGCAATAAATTGAGACCCTGTTATCAAAATAGAAATAAAAAATATAAAAAGCACTCGGATGTGGCCCTAGATTCAATCCTCAGTCACACACCCACATACACAGTAAAAGTTAAAAAGAGATCCCACACATGTACACCCAGTTTCCCCAAACAGATAAAAAATAATTTTTAAAATTCTTTGTCAAAGAAGTTAAGTAAATTTTCCATGTAAGTGGGCTGACAAGTCCTGAGAAGGAATTAACAATGAGAAATTTTACCAAGCTGATTGTATTTCAAAGATAAAAAAAAAAAAAAAATCACTTGCTCATCAAGCAAAAATATCAAGAAAGCAACAAAATAGGGGAAAAAATAGGATGACTTCAGTTTTCTATGACAATAGCTGATAGAAAATGAACACTGACTACAATATTCTTGAAAAAGATAAGCAATTCCAAATTTTGCACCCAACTCATTAACCAAATACAAAGGTAAAAGACAAACATTATACTCTTTAAGAGATAAAAAGAAAAATAAACCAAGCCATAAATAAAAAACCTGATGTTCAACAAAATGAAGGCTAGAGGCAAATGTTTAAAAAAAACATTTTTTGAAACCTAGGGCATGTGGCAATTTTAATTCACAAAATTACGAGATTAACAATTTTTCATGGTCAGGCACCGAAAGTTACTTTTCACAAATCAAAATTATTTTAAGTCTTACTGTTCTTCTGGGACTTCAGCCAAGAACCTTTTCTGTAGTTTCTTACAAAGAAACTCTGAAAAGCTAGCTCAAGTAGAATCATGCCATGATCAAATTTACTCCTAGGGAGCCAAATGGCCCAGAACACAAATTTTAGAATGGCAAAAATGCAAGAATTTAGGGATATATTAATAATGCCTGCATGTTAAACAATTTAAAATGGAAAGTTCTTTTAAATATTTGTTAATATTTATTCATATACAGTATTAAAATTTCAAATTGTTTAGCAACCAAAATGTTAAAAAAAATTGCCTGTTATCTCTAAGTTTCACAGGTTATGATTCAGTTGGCAATGGCTATCATCAAAAGGGTTATAATACTACTGCTGAAAGTTACATTTACAGCTAATAAAATTCTTACCTATTTTCAGTAATTAGTCTTTTTAGGTCTGGTCTTATTTTTTCTAAGCTGTAGGATCATGTCACTGTGACTTTTTATTTAATGGTACTGAGAACTGAACCGAACAAAGGCCTTGGACATGCTAATACGCAAGCACTCTTCCAACAGCCCTTTTTAACTTTACTCTGCAATGGAGTCTAAGTTGCCCAGGCTGGCCTCACCCAGACAGCTGGTATTAGCTGTGTACCACCATGCCCTGAAGTTTTGACTGTTTTTTTGAACAATGATTTGGATGTGTCAAGCTGTTGGAAATAAAGACTAGAGATTAGGCAGTATATCATATATATTTTTTTAAATTTTTTTATTTATTTATTTATGTGTGTGTGTGTGTGGCCAGCTCAGCCCACCAGGGGGCGGGGCTGGCTGGCATGTGGTGCTGGGGGATTGAACCATGGTCCCTGTGCTTTAGCTACAGCTTGTTCTAAGTAGGTGCTTCAGACCACTGAGCCATCTCACCAGCCCCCTATCATATTGTTTTGAGAAAGATTTCTAAGATGGGCAGTAATGTTGGTAGAAAAGTTTTATGTACTCGACTCTATAAACCTAAGAAGAACTGAGGGAAAAAAAACCCCTAAAGCTTTATTGTAATCTATTTTCAATCTTCCACTTAAAGCAGCAGTTGAATATTTAGGACTAAAATGTTAAAAACACACTAGGGAGCAAGTTGTTGCTCTAACAACTGAAGATATTTAAATATTATTTTGGCTTTTTTCCTTTTGTCTTTAAGATAACATCTCACATTGAGGCTGGTCTCAAACTCACAGCAATCTTCCTAGCTCAGCCTTCTGAGTACTGGAATTACAGGTGTACGCCACTATGCCTGACTGGCTTTACTTTAAAAATGAAGTTAGGGGGCTGGTGAGATGGCTCAGTGGTCTAAAACACCTACTTAGAACAAGCTTAGCAAAGCAGAGGGACCGCAGTTCAATCCCCAGCACCACATGCCAGCCAGCCCCGCCCCCTGGTGGGCTGAGCTGGACACACACACACATACACACACACACACAAATTAAAAAAAAAAAATTAAAAATGAAGTTAGGGGACCAGGGAGATAGCTTGGCGGTCAAAGTGCCTGTGTGGCAAGCACAAGGACCTGTGAGTTCGATCCCCAGTACTGCATGCTGTGCTGGCCCCATGCCAAGCTGGCCACCCAAAGCAGGCATGGTGGAGCACGCCTATAATCCCAGTACTGGGGAGGCTGAGATAGGAGGGTCACTGTGAGTCTGAACCGCACAGCAAGAACCTGTACCAAATAAATAAATAGATAAAAGATATTTAAAAATAAAAATGAAGTTAGGGAAGAAGGGTCAAAGCAGAATTGTAATGAAGCATTACCTGTAAATTACACAAACTATCACTTGTTTAGTTCATATTCTAGAATTCTAATTTGGAAACATATCTACATATTAGCAAAGCTAATCTAAGTTTTACATCTTTTGTAAGAAGTCAAATGGTAGTTTTATAAACATCTATTTTCCAATATTGATTTTTTTTAAAAAAAATTATTTTTCTCTCGTTTTTTTTAAGGCAGGGTCTTCCTATGTTGTTCAGGCTGGTCTTGAACTCAGTGTGTACCCCAAGCTGGCCTAGAACTCGATGCAAATCTGCCTCAGCCTTCCAAGCACTAGGATTACAGGTATACACCAACACATCTAATTCTTTCCAATACTAAATTTTAAAAGCAACATTTGGGATAGACTGTCAGCAAATCCCTAATTTTACTATAAAAGTCTATCAGAATTTAAGATATAAGTTAGCAGTGTAACTCAATAGTGGAGAATGTGCTTACAACATTTAAGGCTCTGGAGTTCCATCCCCAGCACTGCTACTATAACAGTAACACAAAACGACAGGCAGACTTTGAGGAGAAATAACTTCTCTAGGGAAGATGGCTAAAGATCAGCTATCCTGTCTGAGTTAGCTCACCTTTGTTTTTTTGAACTGGAAATCTCTGAACTCCTGAACAACCACAAATAGGTTATCAACTGATCTCAGACAATGAACCTGTAAAGAAAGAAATATGTTAGAAACAGATTTCTGAAAAAGCTGCTGAGTAACAGAAGCTATCAATATTAAGTATTTTAACATTTATTTACAGGGCTGGAGAGATGGCTCAGTGGTCTAAAGCACCTACTTAGAACAAGCTTAGCAAAGCACAGGGAAAGCGGTTCAATCCCCCAGCACCACATGCCAGCCAGCCCCGCCCCCTGGTGGGCTAAGCTGGCCACACACACACACACACAAATAAAATTTATTTACAATGGTGTAAAAGCATCTACTATCTATGTTTTGTATATTTAAAGTTCTCATCTTTTCTTTCATCTTTTTAGTTCCCCAGCAGGTGCTTTTCTCTAGAGAAAGTGAGGGCACACTGAAGGTCAGAAGCCTTAAGTGTTATACAGGCAACATGGGTTTAAGAAGAGGAAAATGAAGACAATCAAGTGGGTCTTTATTATATTTTCCTTTCCTCATGGCTCTCTGTGGTACATAGTATAATCACTAAGAGCTAAGAGTGATAGTAGCTGAGAGCATGATTTTGAGCTCCTGCCTGTGATGACTAGCTGAATGCAGACAAATCACTTATTCTTCCTAAGATGATTAAAGATAATAATGTCTACAATCATGAAGCTGTTCAAAGTATTAACTAAAATATTAGATGTGAAGTAATTGCATACCATTTTGTCCCAAAAATATTTCCTGGATGCCTACTATATGCCAGAAAATAAGTTTCTTTTAAAAGTTTATTTATTTATATTAGTATAAGGTCTTGCCTTGATACAAAGCTCAGACACATAGTGATCCTCCTGTCTCAGCCTTCCCAGTGCCAGGATTACAGGCATGCACCACCACGTCCAGTTTCATGGTCAGTATGGCACGCCTGGGGTTCAGAGGCTGGCACAGCATGTGGTACCAGGGATGGAATCCGGGTCCTTGCACTTGCCAGACAGGAACTTAAGATAGCTGAGCTATCTCCCCAACCCCAGAAACTACAAGTTTGAACATACAGAGGAAAAAAAATCCCAATACAAACTGGGCATGGTGGCACACACCTGTAATCCCAGCACTCCAGAAGTTGAGGCAGGAGCATCACTACAAATTTGAGACTCAAAACACAAACGGAAATAGAAATATGAAAACGAGGGTGGGGAAATAGCTCAGTGGAATAAAGTGCTTGCCTAGCAATCGCAAGATCCTGAGTTCTATCTCTGGTACCACCAAAAAAAAATAAAAATAAATAAATAAATAAATAAAAAATAAAAATATGAAAATAAAAAGAAAAATGAAACCTGTGGTACATATAGAGTTCAAGACCAGCCTAGAATATGTGAGACCCTGTCTGAAAAACAAGCAGAAAAAAACCCAGACACACTCCATGCCCACGTACTGTTTATATGGTAATCAGATATACCTTAGCTTTTGTTTTAGTTTGCTAACTTTCACTTTTCACCTATAGTTAATTCTTAATTACTATAGAGTAAGAATGCCTGACACAAATCAAAAGAAAAAAACTATGCTTTTATACTGTATCAAAATCTAAACTTTAGCTAGAGAATGAGGTAAATAAAAGAAATGTTTGTTGAAAAATAAAAAAATTAAAAAATTAAAAAAATAAAATAAATGTAGCACATACTTAGAATTTCTTCGTAAGTCACATAGGACTCTGGTGAGTTCAACCACCAGGAAAGTTACAATTACTAATACAGCACACTATAATAAACGTACTTATAAAATACATATGGAAGGGCGAGGGAGATGGCTCAGTAGAATAAGTGCTTCCCTGGCAAGCACAAGGGCCTGAGTTCAATACCTGGTTCTGCCAAAAAAAAAAAAAGAATGAAAAAGTTTGGGCTGAGGAGATAACTCAGTAGAATAAGTGCTTGCCTAGCAAGTGCAGTGTCCTGAGTTCAATCCCCAGCACCGCAAAAAAAAA